CTCTCTCTCTCTCTCTCTCTCTCTCTCTCTCTCTCTCTCTCTCTCTCTCTCTCACACACACACACACAGCTATTTGGTCTACTGTTACTATGTAATTCACGATAAACACAGATTTAAGACAGGCCTATCCTATAATGTAGAACTTGATTTCATAGAGTAGATGGTGAATTTACTGGCCTGTACCACTGTTTCTTAAACAGCACCTTGCAAACATAACAGACCCCTCCCTACAACTGTGCAAACAGAAAAACATTGTATGGTGGTATTATAGCTATTACGCCACACATAGCTACATGTATTAAATAGCTATATTGTCTGTGAGAATCCCCACCTGAAGTCCAGCAGCACAAAACATTAGTTTCATGGCCTGTTTGGCTGATGAGCCTGAATAGCCCTCGCTCCTGGGTGCAACTGACACGTCATCCAACAGACCTGCTTTGGCCTCACTGCCAAACACGCAGGTCTTTATGACAGGGTAGCAAATCCCACTACCTGGAAGAAAGGAAAATAAAAAAATTATTAACTTACTATCAAGACCAGAAAGGGACTTACAACTACAAGTTTGTGTTTTCAATTGCCATACATCTCCAAATGAGGCATGCTTAGTTTTGAAGCTCAAACCTGTTTCTAAGTAGCTGGTGCGTTTGAAGTAGCTAATGAGGAGATAGCCGGGGATGATGATGGTGGAATATCCCAGCAGGTTGACAAGGAAGCGGAAGACCCAGACATCGTGCCAGCCTTGCAAAAGTGACAACTCCTCTGAAGCCACAGCAGCAGGAAAGAGAAGGAACACAAGTACAGACCAAACCCTACAAGAGTAATTCAACATGGTATAGTCAGGTGACACTGTAAAGAACATAGGAGAGAAAGATATCACACTAATGCTAATACTAGCACATGCTAATACTTGTTGCAAATATCTTTATAAAAAACTAAAGCCAAAGTTAAATCTACCCAGTCACTTACAGATGATTATTTTATACACTGAATGGACAGTTGTCCTCTCATTCTGACCAAAAAGGAGTCAAATTAACTGTAACAGTGTTTGTTTCTGTAGTTTTAAGTCAGAAAAGGAAGTGAGGCACTTCATGCCTATGAACTCTGCTCTCTTCCTATTGGCCCACAGTGCTGTCCTGGACAGATATTTTACTACGAGATGAATAATAACAGCAAGAACCATAACCTGTTTAAATAGCCAGGAAGAAATTAGATGTGCTTCCTCGCCTGCCCCATTGTTTTAGGAGATGACTCAAATGTACCTGCAGTGAAACCTGAGCTCACTGCAAAAAAGGTGTGCTCCTTGTTGTCGTGGCACTGAGTGTGTATCTGTTTGGGAGTGAGGCCAGGCTTCCTCCTGGGGAGGGGAGGGGGTGGGGTGGCTGTGAGTCTGACCCACAGAGCCTCTTTGTGAGGGAGTCCGCTGCTGCCTGACCAGCCAGCAGCCCACTGTAACGAGACCTGGGACCTGAACAAGGAACTTATTACATGGAGGAATGCACTGTACTGGCTGGATAGCCAACGCACAGGCTGCTCCATTATTATCCTTATCCTAACACACAGAGAGAGCGCTGCCAAAATTTACCTGAAGAAAGTGCTTGTATCTATGATATCTAACAGTAGATTATATAGGTCTCGTCATCGGTGTGTGAATGTGTGTGTGTGAATGGGTGAATGTGTATGATATCCTGTAAAGCACTTTGGCCAGTGTAACACACTGTGAAATATGCGCTATATACATACAGTCCATTTACCATAGATTATATAGACCAAGACTGAAAGAACTAATCTTTCCCTTGGTAAAAAAAAAACAAAAAAAAACACAGGAAGTGGGTCATGGCTCCAGACTAACACTTCATGCAACCAAGTCTCTCAGATGGTGACACCACCGCTGTTTTGCAATTTTAAACACCCTTACCACCCAATGTGCATAGCTCATATTTATAATAAAATTCAGAGAGGAGGAGAGAAGGAGACTTATGGAACAATAAATGGGAAAATCACTCCTGGAACAAGTTTCCATCTCTTCTTATGTATAGTCATTTTAGTGCTCTATAGCCTAGCAGGCAACATGATGACACTGATGATGATTAGACCTAAAATTTCGTTGTACGTGTTACAACAACAAAAGGAGTATCTTATGCTACACTGTATCCCATTAATATAGTTAGATTATTTTAGTTGTCGGCTATCCAAATATGTGCACCTGGGGGCACCACTTTGCTAACAACTACCAAAACAAACCAATACTGTTGCCCCCTATTAGAACTTTGTGGTTATGTGTTAGAGGAAACAGATTTCGCCCCAACACCAGTTACTGACCACAAACCATATGGTTACTTTCACCATTAGCTTGCTTGCAGACTTCAAAAACACAGTGACAGTCACTGTAAACATGAGTAACGAAATTAACCGTAAAGCTGTCAGTAAACAAGGGACAAAGCTTGTCCACACCTAAATCAAACATGCATGACACATTTCTTGTTCGTTCATCTTGGTGTCTAACGTTACCTCCATGAAAAAGATGTCATTTTCCCCACTCTCGGTGGTCCGAAAGCTGGCGCAGCACTTAGCGTTACGCCGACAGACTCAAACGTCTCCGCTGTAGCAGAGCATGAAACTGCACGGACCCGGCAGGTAATGGTAGTTTAATATGAGGAGACTGTCTTCTTTGGCACTGTCCACCTTTAGCTCCGGCGTTTTCTGTTTCTCAATAGCTGATGTGATGTGTTCACATGAGCAGGAAAGGCTCCTTCTTCTTCCTCACTATAGTAAGGATGCCGGAGACAGAAACAGAACAACCGCCTCCCTTGCGGCCCTGCCCCCCATCGGTGTGGTGGAGTAACTGCACCATTTTGCAGCCTCGCTGTACATGAACCAGGAGGTCCACTTACTACATACTGTAAAATACTACACTCTGTTTTGAAGTAAGCCAATTGTATTTGTTTACTTACATATTTAAATGTAATGTTATTGCTATTTATTTTTGTCTATTTTACTAAACAGCTATGTTACCCTGTAAATTCACCACTGTAGGCTACTTGCAGTAGGTCTATGTTACAGTACAATGAAATGAATCTGCACAGTTCTTGAAACAGTACACAACTAAACAATTCTTTACTAAACAGTTCTTTACTAAAGTATAAAAAAAGCAAAATAATGTAACAATATACTATTATCAGTGAAAATACTTGCATTAACATCTTACTTAAAAGTGCATAAGTATAATGAGCACCTCCTGGGGAGTTTAACTTACTATAGAACAATGAATAATATATTTTTTATTACAGGCTTTTAAAACTCTAAACTGCAGCTGCTTAATTCTGTGCACAAGAAGTCAATAGGAAATTGGTTGGCACTCATGTCACTCTGCAGCTCATTGTGCATCTTCTGTGAATATGTTTGGGTTCATAGTTCTACTGTCAAGAAAAGCACAAATGTGTTGACCATTTGGAGAAAAACTATGTAAAAGGTGTGAAAACTGGTCCTAGGTTCAATGGGGAAGTAAGTTTAGTTTCATACAGTAGCTCTCTATGCTAGCAGAGGGTTGTCTGTTAGCTGCCTCCATATCAAGTGCTGCTGTCAAACCTTCATACCCATGTTTACACCCAACGAGAGGAAATCCATTTCGTAATTCCCATTGAGTTACTTTGGCTAATATCCAACACGAGCATGTGAGTGAAGCCAGTTTACTGTTCAACCAGTCTTGTTCTAGTGTATAGACAGATAATGAGTGGAATTTCCAGCCACTCCGCAGTGACTGTATTATAGGAGCCAACAGGAGGAAGCACTTACAGAAAAACAAAATATACCTTACAAAAGCAACTGACAAGAAGTAAGGAAAAGAACCGGATGTTTTCATGAACAAGTTGTCAGTAAACTCATGAGTTTACCCTGTACATTTCCAAGATGTCTTTGTTGTAAATTCTTGCCTGCCATACTGTCATAATGATTTATATGCACATTTATAATGAAAAAAATCAAATAAAAAACTAAAAAAAAAGGTTCCCAAGGGCTTCCCTGACACTTACATGTCTTCTAATATTCATTTTGCTCCTTTCTATGGGCTTGAAACCACAATCTTTTATGAAACTCTATGAAATACCTGGAGCAACCAGAGGAGAACAGACAGTAGATAATGTTCATTCATTTAAGGGGTGGGTTTTATCACTAATGCCGGTAAACACAAAGTTAAAATCTCCCTTTACCCATAAAAAAATATGAAGTGAAGATTTTTTAAAATAATTTTATTACAAAAAAATTAACTGCTTATATTAACTAGACAAGCCAGTGTAATTACACAACAAAGATCGGTGAACCAATGAACTCTTTACTGAAAATGAAGGATGAGATAAACAGAGAAGCATATTAACCTGTTTCACAACATGAAGCAGCAAACCTAAAAAGAAATCTAAAAGATGAAGCTGCATTTTGTGAGTGATCACTTTTCTTGAAAACAATCAGGGGAGTTATAAGTTTGTCTTCAAGGGATTGCAGGTCTCTCTGGGACACAATTCATTTTACACTTTCCATGGAGTAAATGGAACATTTTTTATTCCTGCCTCTGATTGTATCCCTAAAAGTCATCCAATTTGGCTTTAAATCGCAGGATAAAGTCACAGTTTGTTTTACAACACAAAGGCAATAACAGCTCTGACAAATTTCGAGAAATTGAGAAACAGCAATTTGCATATTCCATTTCTTGGTTAATATGATAAAGAGGTAGAAATTTTTATGGTCAATGAGCATGTTGATAGATTTGGCACTCACTGTGAGGTGGCATTCGTCGTATAACAAACCACCCAAAAGATGCCAAAAAAAAAGAGAAGCTAAACAAGTCAGCCTAATGACTGAGAAACAAATTTTTAAAGTCTGTGAGTTCAACTGAGCAGAATCAGAGGGTTCATCTTCATACATTGAGATGATAAATAGAGAGCAAATCAAAGTACTACAAATACACGCACTATTTAAAAAAAAAAAAAAAAACTTTAGCTTTTTTGAACAAAGTTTCCAGCTGCAGTGAGGCTCAAGGCAAATGACTCAGCTCAAAACTTCATTCCAACCACCGACCTCCCAGAGATCTGGATATCATCAAAAGGAAACAGAGCCAGAATCTGAAAAACAAGGACACAAATAGTCTAATTTTACTAGTGTCGGCTCTGATGGTGAACTGCTGTCCTTGTCCAAACTTTGACTGCTCTAAACTGTCTGTGGAACTCGGCTACAAGTCTATTTCTTTCTACTGAATCCATAAATCTTTAAAAATGAGTTACAAATATACAGTCTAATTTGAAAAAAGGGCTACATTATTACCTAAAACAATTGGCACTGTAGTTTTCAGCAAATATTACTCAAACAGGAGTGAACAGTAGATTTGTGTGGGACAATTTTCAGCCACAGATTAGTATACTACTGTGGCTCTGGGGAGTATTTACAGCAGCAGTACAGTGCATGTGTGACTGACTCAAAATAAAAGACAGTGTCCACATTCATCTTAACCAAGGGTCATGTCACCCAGTGTAATGTTATGGCTCTCTGGCAGATTTATAAGGGTTTTGACTTCAAATGGTTGGTTTACATCTTTTGGGGTTTGTGAGAATAAGATAAATCTAGAACAGCCTATCCTTCTCTACTTACATCATCATTGCCATTGGCCAGATCCAGCGCTGTCTCATCCTCCATGTTTCGTAGCATCATGTCAGCACCAGCCTGGCAGAGGAGGTTGGCGATGGTGGCGTCCTGCCTCCCTACAGCAAGATGCAGTGGCGTGCAGCCATTAAACATGGCAGCATCCACGTTGGCTCCCCTGCTGAGCAGCAATTTCACTGATGTGATGTCATGTAGCTCAACGGCGAAATGAAGAGCTGTTTTCCCACTGGTTCCTTCCTGTGAGTGGCGTAGATGGACAAAGAGAAATACTCAACACAAATGGGACAATAACAAGGTAGGTCATTTTAATTCCAATAACTTTGTTAGTTTGGTATTATTCTAAATGTGAGTATGCATACATTACCTTCTCATTTTGCAAGCTTGACAGAAAACATAATGTTAATAATAATAATAATAATAATAATAATAATAATAATAATAATAATAATAATGATGATGCAATAAACCGGATGCGAGGCAGACTGATATGTTCAGCCAGTGATATAAACTGAGAGGAATGTTTCGAGACCGACTCCTATGTTCCCTTCCATCAATAGAAAGTTAAGAGTGGCTGGGCAGCACAGACTAATCATATCTCAAATCTAATTATGTCTCCACAAGTCCTGCAAGGATATCTTGAGCTCAGCTCATATCACTATCAGCATTGCACAGGTGCAGCAGATTTATATACAGGAGCATACCATAAGACCAGGAGTAGTTAACAGAGTTTGAAAAGGATAAATGTGATTATAAATACTAGCACGAGTGGATCAGATGCAGGATGGCCCTACACAGAGGCTACTGTTTGTCTTTTAGCTGTGTAGCCTAAAAGGTCAGAGTCAGCGTCAGCTGGCAGGTAGAGGTTTATGGTTTAAAATCACTGACAATTTGACATTTATCTAAAGGGCAATTTCATGTCAAATCACACAACACTTAAAAAAAAAACCTCTACTCTGTGGAGTCTCATTTAACAGACTAACCTGGATATTCAGATCTGCTCCCTTTTTCATCAGGAGCTTCATAATCTGATGGTGCCCGTTCAATGCAGCCAAGTGAAGACAAGCAAGACCTGCAAGTATAGATCTTGTTTCAAATGTGGAACATGGGGCTCATTTAACTCAAAAGCGGTTGAAAACATAAGCTTAAAAATCAGGTGTTAAACTGTGGTCATGAAGCCTAAGATCAATTATAGATTGGTTATGCAAATCAGACACATCCAAGACCTTTTGCTAAATCTACTGTTGTTTCTTTTTCCCCAAATGTGTGAAAATACAAGGCATATATCCAGCAAAATGACATTTTAATTACCCCAAATCAAATTCATCAAATTTGATATTTCCTTTAATGCTATATTGTTTGATCAATGGCAACCCAGTTAAGTATTTACTGTAAAAAGTGCACAGCATTAAAAACAGATTTTGGCTTCAAAGAACCAAAAGGCCATGTTACATTTGGACCCACAAAGAAAATCAGCCACATAATCTGAGAAGTTCAGCTTCAGCAAACCCCACTGACAAATAATCGCACAGATGAAAATAAAACTGCACATAGATACCACCAATAAATCATAAGGCCAATTTGTTTTTTTTACCTCTCCAGTTCTGGGTCTCGAGGACTGGCACCAGCTTGCTAGGGGCCACCTCTGTTGTCATCTTTGTGGTGCACTCTGTCTGCCCGTGCTGGCAGGCCACATGCAATGCTGTGTTCCCTTCCTGGTCCTGCAGTTCCAGGCTGACACCTTTCTCCACCAGGCTCTTGACTACATCTGTCAGATTCAGGTAGGTGGCCAGGTGCAAGGGGGTCTGAGGAGCACACAAGAGAAAGGATGTGTGAGGCAACCGAGGAAACTGCATGTCTCTGGTACGATTAAAGATCAAATTGGCAACTGGCAGCAATTTTGATAAGAAAATTAAAATTCTAAACATTTGCTAGACCCAGTTTCTTAAACATAAGGATGTGATGTTTGATTTCACCGACTTCTATCCCTGTAGACCTGCTGTGAGCAAACAAACCATCTCAAGACATTTTAACACAAAAATGGCTAATCAATACAAATTTCTATTCAATTCATCTATAATGAACATAAGCATAAACTTTATTGCCAAGTTTCAAGAACACAAGGAATCTGACTCCAGCTCAATAGCCCCCGATGTGCACAACATAAAAACAAAATAAATACACAATATATACAAGTTAAAAGAGCAACATACACTAGCTGTTCATCAGTGTAATAGCCCGGGGAAAGAAGCTCTCTCTGTGCCTGGTTGTCTTGGTGCACAGTGACCTATAGCACTGTCCAGAGAGGGGGGGAGTTCAAAGAGTTTGTATCCCAGGTGTGAGGGGTCTGCAGAAATCCTCCCTGCCCTCTTCCTGACCCGTGAGGTGTACGGGTCCTCCATGGAGGGCAGGCTGGTACCGATGATTTTCTTTGCAGTCCTGACTGTCCGCTAGAGCCTGTTCCTGTCCTGTTTGGTTGCTGAGCCAAACCCAACAGAGATGGAAATGCAGAGAACAGACTCAATGACTCCCCTATAGAACTGATTCAGCAGCTCCTGAGGCCAGTTGAACTTCCTGAGCTGACGCAGGAAGTACATCCTCTGCTGTGCCTTTTTAATAATGGCGCTAATGTTGGTTGTTCACTTCAAGTCCAGAGAGATTGTGGAGACCAGGAACTTGTAGAACTCCACGACTGAAACAGTGCTGCTGAGTATGATGAGCAGAGATAGGATGGGGGAGTTCCTCCTAAAATCCACTATGATCTCCACTGTCTTCCATGTATTCAGCTCCAGGTTGTGGTGACCACACCACAGGGACAGCCGTTCAACCTCCCATCTGTAGGCCAACTCGTCACCGTCTTGAATGAGGCCGATGACTGTTGTGTCGTCTACAAACTTCAGGATTTTTACAGAAGGGTCTCCTGAGACATCTTTGGGGGGCATTTGTGCAGATAGTCCGGGTGCTGGATGTGGGTTTCCCCAGCTTCACCTGCTATTTCCATCAGAAAGTGGTGATCCACTGACAGGTGGGGGCAGGCACAATGAGCTGGGTAAGTTTGGAGTAGAGGATGTCCGGGATGATTGTGTTAAATGCCAAACTGAAGTCCACAAATAAGATCTGAGCATAGGTCCCTGGTGAGTCACGGTGTTGCAGGGTGTAGTGCAGTACTATGTTGACTGCATCACCCACTGACCTGTTTGTTCAATAAGCAAGCTGCAGGGAATCCAGCCGGGGAGCTACAATGTCCTTCAAGTGGGCCAATATCAGTCTCTCAAAACACTTCATGACTACAGATGTCAGGGCAACAGGTCCTTAGTCATTCAGTTCCCTGATGGAGGATTTATTGGGAAGTGGGATGATGAAGATGGGAGCGAACTGGTCAGCACAGACTTTCAGACAGGAGGGGGTCACACAGTCTGGGCCTGGTACCTTACTGATCTTTTGTTTCCTAAAAAGGCAACACACATCTCTTTCACAGATCCTAAGAGGTGGTGGACTGATGGGGGGAGAGGTGGGAGAGGTAGTCCTGGCCTTAGTTACAGCTTTATTAGTGCAAGTATGTTTTGTGTACTTTCTGTGCTTCACCCTGCCACTTCTACTTGTATTTCCTGCATTTCCCAGAATGCCTTTTAAAAACCCCCAAAGAACAGGCCCGTGCCCTGGTGCATTCGGAGGAAATAAAACCTGTGGACACCGTTTTTAAACCTGCAATGAAAACACTGCTGTTTGCACATGCCTCTGAATGATTGTTTTGCTGTTTTCATTGCTTAATGTCATTTCAAATGCTGTTTTTAACTGCTTTTAATTTATTGCATATTCTTTCTTTTCTGCCTGTTCGGTATGTAAAACACCTCGAGTCACCTTTAGGCTGGAAATGAGCACTATGCAAACAAAGGTAAGTTGAACTGAGTTGATTTGGTTATACATATGAATAGAAAACTAACTTTTCCAGCTGAGAAAGTGGCAGCGGCACCGTCTGTCCGAAACTAACATGCTTTGTGGTTGCACGGCATTCTGGCACAAAACAAAACCACAAAAATGCCTCATCAGTGGCATTTTTTTTCTTTTTTACCAGTATGCAAAATGTTTGAGGGTGGATTTTCTGTTAGGGGCTAAAAGGAATTTTTTTGGGTAATGTCTCAAAATGTGAGGTCTTAGAATGACTACTGAGAGGAAATTAGGCAACCAAAATGGATTCTTTGAGAGCACAGGGCTATCTGAGTCACTGCAAGAACTGCTGAGTCTTAACTTCAGATGTTTCCTTTTGACTGACTTCTGTCAGATCGTTCCATCCTCATTTTGGTTTCTGCATTAGCAAGATTCTGGCCTGACATCTTGAAGAACTGGAACAATTCCTCCACCCACATCCACACAAGGATACACTCCACAGCTCCTTGTGCTTCCATTTCTACAAGAGGTAGAGGAGGGGAGATTCCAGTCTAAGTCCCCTATGAGCTAACACTGGAACCACCCACAGTGACGTCCCTGCCAGAGGACGGACTGCAAATAAAGAGGAACAACAGTTCTCTGGAACTACAGAGGTATTAAAAAAGCCACTATTTCCAGAATCAAGATACTGATAATGAGGAAGTCATCTGGACTGAAAAATTCCAGTAGAAGCTGCTAGGTTCTCGTGTAGTGGAAGGAGTCCTGTTGCATTTACCTGGTATAAGTTGTTTTGGATGTCCAAGACTTCTTTTGGGAACAGTTGTATCAACTGCTGAGCGATGAAGTCGTTTTCATGGATGATTGCTAGGTGCAGGATTCTACAAGAGTAGCAAAGAAAAACAAACATCTTTATCTTTGCAAAACTTGCAAGTCCACTTTATCTTCCATTGAGCAATCAACTTAAAAAAAAAAAAAACAAACAGTAAAATTGAGTAGCATAGAAAAAAAAACGTATTTCAACAAGAGAAACTGTTGCCTTACAATTTTCCCCTGTATTAATCTCAAGAGACAACCTCAAAACTTAACAGTTTGGTTGAATAAAAGACTGAGTGGATGGAATATTAAGCCATGCAAAAAATGTTTTTAGAAGCGATAGCATAGCAAGTTGTGTAACTGCAGGTCATGCTAAAAGAACATCCTTGTAGTTTTTAGTTTAACCGTATAAAGCAAATGACGAAACAAAACAAAAACACAGTAACCTCAAAACCTGAGTGGGAAGTTGTAACAAACAATTGTGTGCAAAAGGCAGGAAATGGAACCAAGCATTGGTTCTTAATTTAGACTAACCCAGAACAACAGAGACGGCCTCTGCTCAAAGGATTCTAATCAGAATACAGCTTCATTTGTTTAAATCCGTGTGCGCACAGTTAACAGTGTCTCGAGTTAAATGCTGTACACATTACGTGTATAAAAAAAAAGTCATATAGCCTAGTAAACATTTGATTTTGGTTTGTTAAATGGTACATAAGAAAAACCAATCAATGCATCAGTAAACTAATAACAGTATAGCATCTGATTGATTCAGTTCCTGTCTACATTTATGTGCAATGACTGACAAATTACATTAACTGGTGAATCAATTCCATCTATGTGTGTCATATACAGTGACTTCAGAATTATTCAGACCCCTTTACTTTGTGCATGTTAGTGTTGTGTATACTTAATTTTAAACTGATAAAGTGCTTTTTTGCCCATCTAGCTACACTCAATAATGCACAGTGAAAACATGTTTTAGACAAAATATACTAAAACCAGATCAGCGCATGGGTATGAAACCACTTCTAAACCTTTGAGTGCTGCCAGGAGCACAGTGGCCTCAAGAATTGAGAAATGGAAGAAGTCTGGAACCACCAAAGACCTTTTCAACATGCACTGGATCTGTAAATGATCTAGACACTACCCAGAAGAGGTCTACGTGAGAATGCAAGTGTCCAAGTCAGTCCACCCAGACATTAAGCAGACTTTACCTTACTAGCTCCCTAGTACAAAGTCCATGTAATGTTTGAGTGAGCTGGACTAAGCTCATGTCACAAAACAGCTGTATATAGACTGGAGTATTCACACAAAGATAGTGGACATGTTGATGATGTTCTATCATGTGACCGGCGTTAAACTGAAAGAATACAAACATCCATGGTGCAGAAAAATGTCATTTACAATGAAGACACCAAAGAAAATATGCAACTGGAGACATGACAGGACTCTGGAACGTCTGTTATTAAGAGCCTGGGGCCAGAATCATCAGACAAGGCCAGTGTTTATGACCAAACTACAAACCGGCTAGGTGACCAACTCCTGAGCACTCTACCGAGGCAACCCCACCCATAAACCAAAGGGAGTATTTCCAGTAAGTGAAAACATATCTGACACAGAGTATCTCCTGTTGTGTGCTACAGGTGTGAAAGGGCAACTCTGGACAAAGTCCATTCTGGAGTTCATATGTGAAAACGGCTGGGACTCTTCCTAGAGTTGGCCATCCAGCCAAATTGAGAAACCAAGAAGTGAGGAGAGCACTCTAACAGAGCTTCAGAAGTCCTCTGCAGAACCTGCCAGAAGGACGATCATCTCAGCGGCTCCCCCTCATTCACTTTATGGTAGAATGGCCAGATGGAAGCCACTGTGAATAAAAGACTTTGTTAGGGGTGCTCCCCTTCCACCTGCTGTAGTGGTTTCTTCCTGTAACGTGTCAGGTGTACCAGATATGGGTGTTGACGGACAGCTCTTTTAAAAGTGAGTGGGACTTGGCTCCAGGGCGCTTTCCTTTCTCCTGGCAGCAGCAGCAGCCTGAGTGGCGATCGGCTTGATCTCCTTTTTGCTTATGTCCTAGTCTTTGGTATGTATGGACGGGTAGTCTTTGTTTCACAGTTTTACTGTTGTTAGGTTTAGTGTTAAAGCTGTTCTAAGTTTAGGGGAACTGTGTTTGGCATTTTTCACTGTATTCTAAAGTTTTATAAACTGTTATATGATTGCAAGAAATAAAGAAAATTAGCAGCAGCCCTTAACTAAACCGGTGAGCTATAAAATACATAGTTTCTGCTCTTAGTTTGTGCCTTCAAATGCCCATAACCTGGAAAAATAACTGGAAACAAAAATTGTCTTTTGTAAACAGATTAATCCAGCAAAACGTATCCCAGCACTGGTATTAATGTACATAAATGCATAACACAATAAACTGCCATGATAGATTGGCAAATTAAATATCTGGCCCACCCATAATGGACTGAGTTAAACAATGGATCTGCACAAAAAGACACTCTCTAACCTGTGAGCAAACATCTTAATGTGAAAGCGACTTCCTGGTTTGGGTAAAACCTGAATGAATAAGAACTAAAAACCCCACAGGGGAAAATGAATGCTTGCATGACTCTCCCAGGCTAAGCAGCAGTGTGGTATGTTTCAGGTGTTTTTTTGTTGTTTTTTTTTTACCCCTCCCAGCTGGGGTGTTAGAATGAAACCATGTGCCCCAACAATTATCAAGCGGAAATGAAAAGAGGTCAGAGTGCAGCACTTCTGCAATGCTGCGAGTACAGTTCACCAGTGTCTGCAGGAGTCATTGACAAGCCTGCTTTCACATCAAAAAAGGCTGATGACACAGCTACACCAGATGAGTGGGTCACACAGCAAGGTCTACTTGATGGAGCTGTGTGTGGAGGCTGAGGTGTATGTGTGCAAAAGGCTGAACTTTCATTGACTCAAACTGAGAAAAACACCGCAGCAAACAGCCACTGTTAGATAACCAAGTGACAAAAGATGTCAAAAAAAAAAAAAAAAGCAGCTTGTGAACTGCTGGATCCACCAATAGACGCTTACGCCCTGTCCTATCCTGATCAACAAGTTTTCATGGATCAAAAGAAAGCAACTGCAGCCTCACAGCTTTGTCTGTACTGCATGGGGAAGTCCAGACCTATCTGTTTCACTTCTGTTTTCTGACTGAGAGACGCCCCACAGGAGTCCATCCACATTCATGACATGAACAAAGTTCATGAAGAAAAAATAAAAAGTCTGCAGCAGTATCACACCACTCTGAAATCCCCTTAAAAGCCAGTGTCATGGGATAAACTGTGCCTTAAATCTTATGTAACTTACCCAGGCCATGTATGGATGGGTTATAGAGTGGAATAAAAAAAGGACTTATAAAGCAGCTTGAACCACCAGTAGATTAATTTGATAACCGAGGGTATTTGTCAAGCAAAATATTGTCTGGTTCCAGCTTGGGAATTTGCAGCTTTTATGTTTAATACCAACTAAACCTGTTGTGTCTGAAGCTGGAACCTTGAACCCTTGGAATTTTTTACCATTCTATAAACCAAATAATACACTCAAGTCAAAAACCAGAAAGATAAAAGATGACTAAAACAGTGATTAGTTGCAGCTCTAACCAACAGAGTAAACACCACCTGGTGCTGCCAGACAGCGGTGAATGTGGGCGATTTGATAATTATTCTGTGCTAATTATTAAAACTGTTATGGTTTTTTGAAGACCAATTTTCACTCTGGGGCACTACAGAATACTTAATGAAAGACTTGACAAACATATTCATTGGAAAAAGATGATGAAAATTCAGTTTAAAATGCAAGGCACCGTATTTGAACTACAGCCACCAATGTGCAGCAAAGACCCGGGCGAGCTGAGAAATGGTGCTTTGCCTTTTTTTAAGCATTAAAAACACGGATAATAAACAAAAACCTACGTGTCTCCTTCTTCAGTAATAGTTGTGAGCAAGTCCTCCTCCTGTTCTGAGAGTTCAGCGCTTCGTGTTCGCTCCTCCGGGACGTTGGAAAGCGTGCAGCCCTCCACTAACTCCGACAGGCTCTCCCCCGTGATGGACGAGGAGCTGTAGGCTGAGTCCAGGCGCTCCTCCACGGTGGAGAACTTCTCCCTCGGCCCAGCGAAGTCCGAGCTAGGCTCCCGGGGCTCCACCGACTTCACTATGGAGCGGTATGAGTCAATGCCCGAGTCCGTACGGTTATCCTCCAGCAAGTCATCTTTGCTGCAGTCTTTGCTCGCCATGGTGGTGCCAAGGCTGGCTTTCCCCTCCCTCCTTCCCTGAGGACTTAACGGCTACCTGCGGGTGTTGTCGCCACTCGGTGACCCGTGATGTGACCGGACTCCGAGGAGAACCTGCTGACACCTGAGGAAACCACCGCTCCTTTGTGAAACCAGAGGACTGAGCCGCCGCGTCTCATGCCACTAACCGATAATACATGACCCCGGCAACGGGCCTTCAGTTATGACCGATTATAACGTTAGGGTTTGTTTTTTAAAGTTTCTGAATCATGGTATGGTCATTCCGGACCTGGTGGAATATCCTACAAAGAACCGAACTTCGGCGAAGCGGCTGCTTGTCGTCTAAGTATCCAGTAACAGTGGCTTCTAACAGCGAGCACACGAGTAATGAAAGGCGATAGGAGGGAAGAGCTGTTTTTGTCACGCGGGGGGAATCCCCAGTGCGCGCGAGCGAACACACACGCGCACGGACATTACCTAGAGAGGAGCGGAAAAGATAAGATTTTCAAAATAAAAGCATACACAAAGGTGGGTTCATTCGTTTACATTCTGCAATGGATCTTTTATATGCTGATTCCAGTATATGATGGTGACCTGCAGCTTATTTTCTGTCTTGGACCAAGTCATGTATACATAAAAAGATAATAAGAAAAGCAAATTTTAAAGTTATGAGTCCAACCTCAGAAAAAAAATCGGGAATAACATAACTATCATATCGTTTCCTTTTCTGGTCTGACACTGCTTTCTGCAGTTTGGCCTGTAGAGGGCGCACTTCCTCAGCTCTGCTTTTCAGCATGCTACATTAACCCCAAACAGGCCCATAGTCTACAAAGCAGTTGTTACAAAAAATGCTTTACTGCTGCCAAGCGCTGCCATCTGTTTTCATGTCAACTACTGTTATGTTTACTTATTCCTTTTTATGCCAGCAGTCTAGTCTAAAGTCTATAAACAAAGGTTATGTGCCAGTAAAGGTTTTTTTTTTAGTAAACCGCACTGTTTACGGTATAAGAAATGATAAGAATGTTAACCATTTTTAATCATGCTTAATCTTCTTCTTCTTATGTGCCATTTTACATTTATAAACTGAAATGGCTGCATCCTGTTTTGCCTTGTTGAATCAAAGCCAGTTGCCATTTGTCCCTCTGGTCACAGTAGTAGAGTCAGTCCTAAGAAGGAAATAAAATCTGAAAAAAGATAAACATTACATTGGTCCATATTTCAGCTCAAACTGCAGTTTCTTGGATTCATCTCAGGAGTTCAGGTCTTTTGTGTAGGCTGTCTGTGGAAGAGCATGGAAGTCAAAGATGGACTGAATGGATATCCAGGACATATGTATAATATATTCACATTTCATATACATAACATAGCCTATTATGCATATGTCTCATTTATACTTGGCCATAAGGCATAGGCATGAAGTTACATCTTATTTTACTTAACCTTACTATAGACAGTACTCAAACATCACAATTTACATATATTAAAAATAGATGAGTCTCATAGAAAAAAAAGAACAAAGACTATAATCCGCATATTCCCTCACAGTGATTTGGTCCATCCAGACAAGGTGATGCAGGGGGTGGGTGTCTCTGTGCAGCGCTGGGTTATTTACAGCGTGGTGTCGGGGGGCTGCTCACACGTGCCGCTGCCTGTCGTCTTTGTCTTGTTTCCCAGCTTCACGGGCTGCAATGGGTACTGTCTTCAGGGAGAGGCGCTGACTGCTGCTTTTGCCATTTCCTAACATTGCATCCCTTGCAGCAGTCTTCACCAGCATTTACTCACTGCATCACGAGAAAAGTCTCACCCGATTTTGCACGTCTTCCGAGGCACAATGACCGGATTCCCGCAAGCAACCCAGCGTCGTCTGTCCACCTGGAAGATGCTAGGATGATGCATCTCTTTATTTGGGCACCTTGTGAACTGGTTCTCTTTGAATGATGCACAGAGAGATTCTCGGTGTGTTTATGTTTTACTCTGATTTGGAAACCCCACATCCTAAAAGAAGGTCCATGCCCGGACTTTTGTACCATTATCATCATGTCTCCAGCATCGGCTGCGACAGCCAGTGAAAGCAGCACCACCACCGTCCCCGAAGAGGAGCCGGACAGCCCCCGAGAGGAGGTAAGGAGACATTGTTTGCAGCGTCTAGGCCAATAATTTTCCTACATAACTGCACGAGAGGCACATACAGCCTTTAATTGGTGTTACATATTTCATAGTGGACACCCAGTAATCTCACTATAATAATCAGATTTTGGAGATTAGGGTTAAACTGGGGGCTTTGTGTCCTACACGCAACACTTGACAGTTAAACTGGGTTTTTGATGTGATAGCAATTATATGAGTGGAATATACTGTATAGATATACGGTATATATATATATATATATATATATGAAGCTGTGCGTCCGAGCGCGCACCCGAGGGTGAGAACGTACATGAGCATACTCCTGTTTGTCCCTCCTCCAGACAAGTCTGACGGGGTTCAGGGATCGCTTAGCCCTAGAGAAGATCCAAACAAATGAAACTCTCACTATCAATGAGGGAACATGACAACGGCTGCTTTGTTCAGGTGTTTACACACAGCAATATTCTCTTGAGAAAAACTTCTCACAGGAACAAAATCTGAAAGCTGGCTCCAGATGTTGAGTTAAACACGCGTGAGGACATACATGAATGTTATAATAACCTGTACCAAAGTCTGTTGCTTTCAACTTCCTTAGATTGTATTGGCAGCACTAATCCCTATTCCCCCCCATAGGGGCTCAGTTCATTAAGAATTTTTGTCAGTAGGATTTTATCCTTCTTCTTACCATGTAGATTTCTCCTACTAACACACATGTTGGTCAAGTTAGGCACCCATTACACAAGAAGGTTTTATATAACCTAGCTGGTCTTATTATGTCAAGAGAAAGTGTCCATGAGTGTGAGAGATAAATTGCAAAGCTTCTCAAGTCTGAAGGTTCTGACTGGAGCATTTCTTTTAGAAACTATTCATATTTCAGAACATATTCTCCCTGAAACAAGAACTTTAATTCACTTCTAATGTCTTTATAGATATTTTGCTGTTAAAGTCCCCACATATGTTAAAGTGCCAGTAAAAACAAAATCACCGACATGCTTGTAAACCACAAGGGTAAAATCAGGATATAAACATGCACAGTGGTTCTATCTATTCACTTTATATTTGCTTTTACATTTTGCAGCCTAGGTACAAACTGACTGCACTGCTGTGTGAAGGGACAGTACAATACAACACAATGGCAACCAAATATCAAAATAATATCATGTTGCAATTAAACTAGGTTTTTTGAACCATAGCCTCAATTTCAGCTTCCATCCATTATCTATAGCGTTTATCCTAACGAGGGTCGTGGGGGACCTGGAGCTAATCCAGCTATCACTGGGAGGCGGGTTACACCCTGGACAGGTCGCCAGTCTGTCATAGGGCTGACACTTAGAGACAGACAACCACACACACACTCACTCCTACGGGCAATTTAGAGTCACCAGTCAACCTAAGCTGCCTGTCTTTGGACTGTGGGAAGAAGCCGGAGTACCCGGAGAGAACCCACTCAGGCACAGGGAGAACATTAAAACTTTGCACAGAAAAGTCTCGGGTCGGCCGGGGCTCAAACCCAAACCTGTCTTGCTGTGAGATGACATAGCTAATCACTGCACCACCATACCACCCTCAATTTCAGCTTCTTAAATAAATTCCATATTGTTTCTGCTTCACCTAATCAGTGTTGGGAAACAAAATACCAGTAGTTTTTCCTCTCATGTCTTCCCTGGGTGTCCCTGCATGACAAACATGTGAGGTATTGTTTCCCCCTGGTATTTATTGCTATTCAGGAACATCTTTGTTAAAGTATCAAAAATGCCATGTGTTCATGTGTTGAGTCACTTCCTAACAGCCTTGAACAGTCTGTTAAGACCTCAAGCAGGGACTTTTTATTTGAAATGTCATTTGTTGTGATAAAATCACTTTTAAAATCTCGTACCATTAATCCATTTAGCCTCCAACTGTCTCTCAGTCCTGTGTCTTTTATTTTATTGATTAGGTTAAGAGTGAAGTTTTCTCTGTCTGTATATGTCACAGTTTAATCAAATACTTCACATACAGGTGTATTTGTTTCACGTATGCAGAATGATGTTTCCTGCTACACAGCTGCTCCTCATTATCCCTGCTGCTTAAAACAGAGGCTGTAATATGTAACATTAGCCACAAGCTATCATGTTATATTGATTATATGGTAGTTGCTGAGTGTGTACAGGATGCTAGTGAGTAAATACTCCTTCTGCGGGTTCATCTCAATGGGGAATTTCAATGTTTATCCCGTTTTCCCAGTGGGGTGTAGCCTTGGGTTGGCAAGGGATGTAGGGATCGTGTGACTAAGGTAGGGAAGGTAGAAAAAGAACATTATTATTTATGTTTGTCTGTCACTCAAAGAGCATAGAGCTAATGTGTTGAATTCAGTACATCGCTGCAATGATGCTGGCTGTTTGTTGTTGTCGCTCAGATGGAGACCTATGACTGCCCTGTGTAACACATAAACAGGAAACCTTTGTTATTCAACTGGAATGCTGTAGGGTGATGCCTGTTGTGTATATTTTTAAATTAAGTTTGTTATAGTTCATCTTTCCTGTGACTTTTGGATTTCTGCCAGGTTTATGTGGCAGTGTTCCCAGAAGGCCTAGCTTGCGGTGCAGCTACTGGGGGTTGCTGTGGCCCAAGGTGATAAAAGATGGCATCAGATTTATGCTGCCAGACCCAAATGACTTGCTGTTTTCTGGCCAGTGTGACATTAATGTGACCTCAGAATATTCCTTCTTTTATATTTTCAAATATCATAACTCGTATTTATAAAAGCACACAAATCACATGCATACCAAAATGTAAACAGAAGCTCATTACTGACTGACATTTTTAATTTGATTCTAAGTGTGGACAAGTTTATTGATTATAACATGCTTAGAGCAAGACATGAGCAATTGGCTCACAGCCCAAGCATAAAGCTCTTATACACCACAGAATATTTCCTTAACTATTTCACTTGCAGGAGCCAGTGCATTTTAATGATTTCTGTCTTTATACAACTATTAAAGCCATACTTATATGAATCAATGTGTATAAACTTTTAGATTCCTAACTGCTTTGAAGTTAGTGTTTTTGACAGACATACAATATGTTCCATTTATTTATATGTGAGAATGCTGAACAAATTATATTTACAGTATTGTTCTACTGACCTGCTGCTATTTTCCCATCTTGTAGCAGCGGCCACAGAAACAGTCCCTGACTAAATCTCTGTGCCAGGAAACTCACTGGAAATGCCTGCTGCTGTCCCTGTTGATGTATGGCTGCGTCGGCGTGATGGTCTGGTGCCAGGTTACCAAGGTCACACGCCTCTCCTTTGACAGTGCTTACAAGGGGAAGTCTATGATGTACCATGACAGTCCTTGCTCCAACGGCTACATCTACATCCCTCTGGCCTTCTTGGTCATGCTCTATGTGGTCTACCTGGTGGAGTGCTGGCACTGCTACACCAGAAATGAGCTGCAGTACAAAGTGGATGTGAACAGTGTGACTGAGCGTATCCAGCGAATGCAGCAGGCCACACCCTGCATCTGGTGGAAGGCCATTAGCTATCACTATGTCCGGAGGACGCGACAGGTGACACGGTACCGTAACGGAGATGCCTACACCACTACACAGGTGTACCATGAGCGGGTCAACACCCATGTGGCTGAGGCGGAGTTCGACTATGGCAACTGTGGAGTTAAGGACATCTCGAAGCACCTGCTGGGCCTGGACAGCTTCCCTATCACCAGGCTGAGGTTCACTAAGTGCTTTAGCTTTGCCAATGTGGAGTCAGAGAACTCCTATCTGACCCAGCGGGCCAGGTTCTTCACGGAGAACGAGGGTCTGGATGACTACATGGAGGCCCGTGAGGGGATGCACCTGAAGAATGTAGACTTTAAGGAGTATATGATTGCCTTTTCTGACCCTAATCACCTTCCCTGGTATGCGTCCAACTCCACTTTTTGGGTGGCAGCTGCTTTCACCCTCTCCTGGCCTCTGCGGGTGCTGATAGAGTACCGCACTGCTTGTGTACACTTCCATGTGGAGAAGCTGTTTGGCTTTGACTATGTGCCAGTAACACCATCTGAGGAGCGGCCATACTGCCGACACATCCCACGAGTCAACACAATCGACAGCACAGAACTGGAGTGGCACATCCGCTCCAACCAACAGCTTGTGCCCAGCTACTCAGAGGCAGTTCTCATGGACCTGACCCAGCTCTCAGGAAGCTGTAACAGCTACTCCATATGTAGAGGCTACAGGCAGAACTGCGAACGCTGCCACCGTGCCATCAGCAGCTCCTCCATCTTCTCTCGCAGTGCTCTCAGCATGTGCAACACAGGGAGCCCCCGCATCCCCTTTAGCGCCAGTCGCTTCTCCCTGGGCCGACTTTATGGTTCCAGGCGGAGTTGCCTGTGGAGGAGCAGCGGGAGCCTGAATGAGCGTTCCTGCCCCACGGAGAGCACACACTGTCTGTCAGGCCAACAGCAGACCAGTGAGGAGAACCCTCCAAACTATCAGGATGCTCTGTACTTCCCGGTGCTCATTGTACATCGCAACGAAGGCTGCCTCAACCACGACCATCGCTCTCTGCATAGAAACGGCTCCTGTGTAGAGACTTCACTATGACCCACATCTGCCGCACTGGTCCAAGAAAGAATATAATAATACAGGAACGGCGTGAGAAACCTCTTGACCTCTGGGCTGGGAAAACATTGACTTCTGCTTCTCTCTTTTAGCTACAGCAGGTGTGACTCAGCCACGTGTAAGTTACCACAAACTACTGTAAAAGCCACTGTAGCCTCAAACAGGGAACAAAGTATGTGTGGGAAATCTTTACAGTACAATAAACAAGTCATGGAACAAAGGCCTGATGGTCTTGATGAGACTGTTTAAAATACAATGTGGCTTTAAGGAACCCTACTTACATGGCATGTACAGCCCTAAGGGTTGAATACCCAGGAGAGTCACATCCTACTGTAAATGCCACATTTATAGATCTTAGTCACTGACAGTTTGTAAGGACATGAGTAATACTTCTAGTATTTGCAGCCTGAAATGTTTTGACTTAGCAGTAGCTTAAAAAATTGCCAAGAAATGAAGGGACCATTAATGGATTCCTGAATGAGAAATAAAATATTTAAAAATTTTCCTGATGCACACATCAAGTAAGATATGTGAACTGGGTGAATCATGAGGGAAAATGCTAAAATACTGTATCAGCATCCTTGTCAAAACATAGCTAACAAGTACAAATAGTTCTGATGAAATAACATAGGTCTTATGGCTCTTATAAAAAAAAGAAGTTAACTCGTGTCCGAATACAAAATCTAAACATCAGCAATATAAAAGATTTTGATACTGAATGCTCACAAAAATTCATTTCAAAGAGGAAAACATTTCTGTAGTATAAAAATAAATATTTGATGCAGATGCTAAAATATCCAGCGAACAGAAATCGGCTTGGTTGCACTGACATTATCCTTCCTAGCTCGCTAAATATAGCAACACAGTCGATGAATAATTAAGCACAGGAGGGCTAAAGGACACGATAAGTTCAAACTGAATTACCAACTCTCCCTCAAACTGATTCTTCATTACTATGAAGTGTATATGTTCTATAATGGCCCACTAGATTGTAATAAACCTCCCCATAATATTGATGGATCAGTGTTAACTCAACTAGTTTAAAATCCATTTAATTTAATTTAATATTTGGCAATATTTTATTCAGCCTACCTCTTTGTTTAAGTGCCTAGTACTCAACTGGTTCTGATAAGCATAAGCTACCGCTATCTAAATTCATCTCATCACAATATGTTCCCATTAAAATAACTTAAATGTACACTTACAGTAGCACATGGTATACAGTGTATAGGCGAAGCATTATGAATTATTACCTGATCTATTTTTTTTTAATCAGACCCCAATTCAGACTCTAAATACAGATGATTTTTCTTTTCAGTGTAACATAGCAGGGGAAAAGCCAGCTCAGCGCTGCTGCTGCGTATCAGAGAGACAGGCAGAGAGCTGGCCATCAAAGGCGCTAGAAATAGGCCAAGTCCTGGATTCACTACTGACAGTGTCATATTTAATAATATGACAGGATTACTTTAAAGCACAAAAAATACTTTCTTTCAACTGAGTGAATGCAGTAGCTTAGTCACGGTGAATTTAGTTTTACAGCCAAGTGATGTAAAACAATACAATGTTTAATGGTAACGGTGATGAAAATTGAGCATGCTAAATAAATAAATAGGTATGGATTTGCTTCTAAAATGCTCACTGAAACACAACTCATCACTCAAAGTACGCCTTATTTCTTCTATTATTCATTCATTCATTCATTCATTCATTTTCTACCGCTTCTTCTATTATTCCTTAACAATTATGAAAAATCTTAGTGCTACTTTGAAGGATGAAAAGAAGCAAAGAGCTCATACAAGAAAGTATTAATTTACACACTAGATTTCATCTCAGGAGACCTGCAGTGAAAGATAAACTGGAATGGATCACTGGCAGATCATTTACTCTAAGCCCATCTGAATCATCGAATTTCTATCAATAAGAGTCTTGCATTTTGTGGGTTGGGCATTTTGTGTTATTTCCTGTAATAACTTGTCTTCACAATAATGGGCTCGTCCTGTAAATTCGGACCAATCAGCCATACTCATTACATTCCATGTGTGGTGTTAGATTTGGAGTTGTGGACTGTCTTTGTAGCAATACTAGAGAATACACTAAAAACAACAACAACAACAACAAAACTGAATCTGTCAAACCTCACATTTCATTCAACAAATGACAGTTTAGAATAAAAACACTCTCTGTCATCTATGTACGCCCCTTAAACTCAGGATAGTATTCAGGATAATTATTGTGCTTGCAACAACATTCCAAAACCTGGTCATTAGTCCTTTATCTAGTTTAAGTTCATGCAGTTACACAGACATTTCATTTAGCTTTTTAAAGAGGATGTGCTGCATAGCAAATGGGTCTGATGTTCCCATTCCAGATAGACTGACAGTATGTTAGATGTCAGTTCCTTTCCAGGCTTTTGGTTGCACCAGCCATTCACAAATTCATCTCTGATTTAAGTTTGTGTGTTCTTAGCAAGTATGAGCTAGTTGCAAACCTGTGATTTACTCAGTCGTATTGTATTATTAAAACATAAATGTGGAAATTGGTTTCAAGCAACAAGAACACGACGTCGACTGAAGCATCATGAGCTGTAAAATAACTGTTTAGCGGCCAAATTTACACATTCAACCTAATGGAAAGTCCTTTGTACATTTTGTTTAGATTTATATTTTCATATATGAGTGTACAGTATACATTTCAAGTTTAGTAGTATTCACGTACTGCAGGGGGACACGAAAATATCATTTTCAGTTCCACTTTGTAAACACTGGCATAATAACACAGTCAAAGTTTGAAGTTGTGATCAGCTGGTACAACCTGATCCAGGTCCTGATGTTCATGACATTAACTGTTTGTACATATTGAGATCGCTTTTAAAATGTTAAATAATTGTTTGGAAACAATCCTCAACCACGTTCTTGCAGAGGGCTACATGATGAGAAGATCTGTATGGTAAACGAGCTACTGCCAGCAGCTGGTTAATTTATAAAGACCAGAGATGGAGGAAACCACTAACCTGGCTCCGTCTGAAGGTAACCAAATCCATGCAGCAACATCTCTTACCTTATACTGTAGCTACGCACATGATACGCCTTGTTGTTTCACCATTTCCAGTCTTTATGGTAAGCTAAGTGAAGCTAACCGACTGCTGGCTCTAGCTTCATATTTAATGGTCAGACCTGAGAATGGTATCAAGTATGTCTTGGCAATTAAGCAAATATGCACCCCCCTCTCCCCAAATCTTTGAACTATTCCTTTCATGGTTTGTGGATGGTACACAAAGCAACCTTTTTGAGTGACATGAGGAACTTTTTTTTTTTAAACTAGCAGGAAACCAAATGAAATGCAGGGATTAAAATTCATTCATTACTTGATTTTGTTTCTTCAGCCAGATGTTTCTTATTCTGAGTCATGGGAGGCTGGATCATAATCCCATCTTGTACTGAAGGCACTTGCATGTCCTGTACACCCCAGAGGACAACCCAAACAAGAGCATGCAAAATGTACAAGGCATTAAAATGCACTGACATGTCTATTTACTGCCCAGCTTGTAGCAGGTGGAGTTACTGGATGATCAAATGTTGCATCGTAGTCGCTGTTTCATACTGAAATCATCCTATTCTCTCAGTCACGATTAGACAACAAACCTCACGGATGGCTTCACTGTGATAATCATACACAGCTATGTGTAAGTATAGGAAAAAGAAACAGTTTACCAGTGAAATGTTTACGTAACAACAGTGACTATTTGGGGTTATGAAAATGGTTATAAATCTGACTGGATTGTTCATAGCTAGACACTTTCCTCTGTAGATGACTGTTAGCATCAACACTTTTGTCATGCAAAGCACTGAACCCTTTATCATGTCTATTAAGAAGATGTGGTTGTTATATGTACTCTTTCACTCTGGGGATCTTTATCTATTTAAGAAATTCTGTTGCTTTTCAAGACTGTAGGGCTGAGAGGATTTGTACTGTAAATCAAATAGGGAGGTTAGAATGATGCCATTGTGGGTCTTTTACTTAGTGAATGTGTCACACATTTAGATGTAAAACGCTAGAGGCAACGCAGCCAGCAGCATTTTCAAATGCTTCAAATTTAGTGTTTGGATGATTTTTGTTTTCCTTCATATCTGATGCTCCTTTATTTACAAAAAAACACTGTTAGAATGATTTGACTTATTCAGGATGGGGTGTACACATACACATAAACACACACGATACACATTTTTTCATAGGAAGGCTGAGTGATTGTTCATAGTGATTTTTGATCTAAAGAACACCAGCAATAGTACATCAATGTTATGTATTTCTTACTGAATTAATCCACCATGAACCAATAGAATAGCTTTGTCTCCCCTCCTTATGATTCTACAAAGCATCTAGTGAGTTTTGCAAAAACGGGGGAAATATGATATCAAGTACACTTGATTTTGTTGCTGCGTAGCAAAGGTGTTACACTATTAACCCGTAGTTATAGGTAAAAAATAAAACAAGTTTGTATGTATTTCAACACCACCACAACGTTGCCTTGATGTTACATACAGTAAGGACTGAAACCAAATCTGTGTATCATCATGGAAAAAAAGCTCCTCAATAAACTTAAATATGTGTCAAAATTTACTTTATGATGGTTGATGCCTGAGTATGACACGAGTCGACATGCAAGTGGTTGTGAATGATTACATGGAGCAGGGACAACTGATAAACATGGGTTTGTATTGTTGATGTCTAATTAGTTTTCTTCTCTTTGGATTGTTTTTCTTCTTCTAAACTCTTGTTGGTCCAAATCACCTGGTTAATGGAGGAAACAATCTGATCATCAACCTCTGTTAGGCGGATGTCACACGCTGTTATGCTGGTGTTGTGACACATTGCCTCCTCCAGAGCTTTACCTCCCATCTGCACAAGAGAAAACAAACACACACAAAAATCACCCCTCTGCAACTTCTAAATAGCTTATTCTGAGTGTCACAAGTGGTTTATTGTTATGTCTGAAGCTGGCATTTTATGAAGAGTAGACCAAGGTCAAAGATACTGATAGTGCTGTATTTTTGCTATGTGGGGTGATTTTTGAGCCTCCTCAGTGAATTCAGTCAGAGATAAGGTATACAGTGAAATCTTGAAGAGAAAAGAGCAAAAGGAAGGAAAATTTCAGTTCCACATCCCAAGGGGGGACTCAGTTTTCCATTATTGCATGTATTCCGCACATCTCTATGAATAATTGAAAATCCTTGTACTTTAAAGCTATTCTGTCTGTTTACTTCACTGGGCTGTGGCTGTATAAGCACTAGCGCGGTTCAGGGGTGAAGTAAATCCAGTGTTTTACAATAAACCAGTGTTTTTATCCCTGATACAATTTAACACACCCAAAAAATGGTACCATTCTTATGATAAAAATGACTTAAAAGGATAACTTCTATTCCTGATTTTGTCCTTTTTTCAAATGTATTGCTTAAATATTTATTAATGTCAGATAGTAGTGAAAATGCCCATATGCCTTGTTTTGTCTGTCCAGCAGTCCAAAAGATATTCATTTTGCAATGACAAAAGCCAGAGAACAGCAGCGAATTCTCACATTTTAGAGGCTGGAATCAGAGATTGTGTGATATTTTTCACTATTTTTGATTTTTTTTTTTTATTACAAAACTGATTAATCACTTATCAAAATAGTTGTTGATTATTTTTCACTCATTTCAAATTCATCATAATGGCTTACTGACCTCACCCAGGTTGTTGCAGGAGAGATTGATGCTCTTCAGGGTGTCATTCCGAGCTAGCACTTCAGACAGAGCGATAGCTGTAAGCCCAGTCACTACATTGCTTCCCAGGTGCAGGTGGCGTAGGGTGTTGTTGTTCAACAAGGCCTTACCTATGGCCTGACCTCCCTCATCTCTCACACGGTTGCGACACAGGTTGAGGGACAAAAGAGTGACATTTTTGGACAAGGCGTGAGCTATAGCTTTGGCCCCTGTATCTCTGATGTCATTGTCACACATGTTTAGGATCTGTAGTTTACTCCTGGTGAGCAGTTTGCCGATGGCTCTGGCTCCACTGTCTCCGATCAGGTTGTAAGAAAAGTCGAGCTCCCTCAGGGACGGATGGTCCAGAAGGTATTTCACCAGCAACCGGCACTTTTTATCCTCAATGTGGCTTTGATGAAGCCTAAAGAGCTGTAGCAACAGTATAGGACGAGAATTAACAAGAATCTGTGGTGAGTTTTTCCAGTGAGCACAGATGAGGTCACAGAGCATGAGCCTTTGACTACAATGACTAAAATAACTTGCCTTGTAAAAATCAGCTGATTAACAGAGCATTGGCTGAGCGCTGATATCATCTCCAATAATCAGTTTCCATATCATGCACAGAAATCAGCAGCAGATACGTATATGCCATATTCTCGTGCCATAATAAATTCATGTGGCAAAACTGTTGCATCACATAGTAAAGCCTCTGGCTGCAGCCTGAATAAATTACTGTTTTTTAAAATGTAAAAAGAGCATGCATTTGTGCCAACTGTGGGTACATTTCTGTTATGCTTATTAACTGGTAATAAAGTCAGCAACGTTGAAATACAGGAAACAAACATGCTCCAGACAGTCAGGTACCATACTGTTGCAAGGATGAAGACCTACGAAAGGCTGTACACTGAGGAGGAATCAATATTTACCTTCAGTGTCTTACAGGATTTAAGTGCATTGGCGAGGGCCTCACAGTCTCTGTCAGTCATCTCAAACATCTTCCATTCAAAGTTCATACCACATTGTTTGACCCTGTATACCAAATGAAGTTCTTCCAGGCTCGTCAACTTGTCAAGCAGGATGCCAAAATCAAAGTGGTCCATAGAAGGTGTATCAGGCTCATTATCACTTGCTGACTCTGAGTCATTATCCTCTTCCACCTTCTGGGGCTCCTTGATAGGCAGCAGCAGCTGGGAGATGTCCAGCCTCTTGACATAGTCTTTACAATACGGGACCATCTCTAGAACTGTTTTGGGCTCTGTCACATTTGGAATAAAAAGCTCAATAATGTTCTCCATGTGCCTCTCAAAGAACATTCGTTTCCAGCTGTGCCCATAATGTGAGACATCACAAAGGTCCCACCGCTGTTTGCAGCTCCTCTTCCAGTAGACACCATCGCTAATCAGGTTGGCTGTCACATGCAGAGGCAGGGAAGGAGACAGCCTCTTATGAATTAAGTCTTTCTGGATGGGTGTAAGTTCTTCAAATATGGGCTTTTCTGTAAAAGGTTCAAATTTTGTAATCAATTTCCAGTTGTAGTTTAAGTGAGGGTGTAAAGAAGTGTATAATGATGCAACTAAAAACAACAGCATACCCTCAAGGTTTTTCATTATGCTTTCCAGGCAGAGGTCTGATAAATTAGGCACTATGTTCAGGAACCAGTCAGGATCTTCAGCAATGATCCTTCTCATTTTCCTTCTGTCCTTAGGTGGAGCTTCTTGGAGCCCTGAAGGATAAGTGTCCTTGGACATAGCTACAGTGTTTTAGTAGACTGATTCAGTACCTTTGGGTAATCCCTCTGCTTAAAAAGAAGAAATGTTCAAATTAATTGATGGAATTGCTTGCACAGCAATCCCACCAATGTTCTTCCCAGGATGCTGAAAATCTTATTTTCCATACACTTTTTAATACTTAACTCCTGCTCAGCATTTAGGGAAAAACATACTTTAATACATTAATTTAATACATTTAACACTAAACATATCCTAGGAATTGGAGACGGACTCTTGCTTATTTTGGTGTGTTTATGTAATGGCCATTAGTTTAATCCACAGCATAAACTGCTACTGAAACCAGTTAAAAACATTTTAGCTAATGTTAGCATGTTGCCCTGCGAGCAAAAACTCAATGCTAATGCGCTAACCTGCGACCAGCTTGCTACTATAGCTACTGTGTCTAGTGAATATCGGAAGGGAAAACTTAATATAGCTAACCAGCAAACATTTCACATTTGTTTTCTACCGTTTAGCCAACATTAACCATAAACGTTACCTACTATTACGTGCAGGAGACTGGTGTGGACTTCATCCCCATGGTAACAAAATGCTCTGAAGTTTAGTTCAGGGAACTTTGAGTTTTGCGCTCTGAACGTTGTCATATGGAGAAAGATTGGTATACTCCGAGAATAAACCAGGGATAAACTGATGGCGTTCAAAATTTACAGTGTCTCATACCAGATAAGCAAATACTGGAAAACAGGGCGGGGAAATCACTAGTTTCCTTTTCACAACCGTGAGTCGATAACATCTTTGGATACATTTTAGGAGTTGGAAAACAGAATTTTCGACATTCAGGGAACGCAACTTCTTCCATTCACAAAGTGCAGAGTAACAGTTATGTTGTTTTATATGGGCTACACACATATTTACATATATGTGTATAGTATACATATAGCCTATATTATATAGTATAATATTACACTGACTGGTCACTTTATTAGGTACACCTGTACAACTGTATGTAATTCAATGCAACACTTCTGCCTTAGCATTTGTGTTTATGAAGCTCAAAATATTTGAATTTTTGGTGACACTCATACATTATAAATCCAATTATATGTTTATTATGGAGGTCACAGTCAAAGGTGATGTTGTATTGGACTACATTATATTCAGAGGTGTTTGTAAAATTTTGACCTCTCATTTATGTAGTTGGGGAGGACAAAAATATAGACATGTCTGAATATAATGTAGGAATAATATTTTTACATTTGGTAACAAAAGAAAAACCTTGATATGAGTCCTGGGTGTTCAGCCCAGTCATGCTGTGATGAACATTTGGATTCTACAAAGTTGGCAGATGGACCACGGATATGCACCGTGGCCCTTTTGGATAAGAGCATAAGGGAGAGAATCTATTTATCATACAAACAACAACACAGCCGGTGCACAGACACAGTGTAAAGGGTAGAAATTAGTACATACTACCCTTAGGGTCACTGACAGCATCTCTAAAGTGTATATACATACACACACAAAGTGTAAATAATGTAGTAGTTCAGACACAGAATAACAAATTGGCCAGGTTTGGCATTTATGTCATGCTGTGCTTGAAAATCTCCTGCCCTGAAATGGGTGAGGCAGACTGTGTGGAGAATGTTTATATGCTTGAGTGTGTGTATTTCTTTTTCTTGAATCTGTCTTTTCTTGCATGTTGCAGCACCACACTTTATAAGAGGTGAGGAATTGAAGTGTTGAACACATGATTATTTATGGTACAGTTAAAAATGTTTGTCCCCTGGTGGAGCTCGTTACAGAAGCACAAGCAGGGAGTTAACACCCAAACATGGCGCCAACACTGTCTACAGTGTGACGTCAGTGTGTGTGTTACCTTGGACTGTGTTAGACCTGGTGGCATCTCACTTCCATTTGCTTGCAGAGCCCAAGGAGCTGTTCCATTAGTTGCTAGGAAATGCAGCATGCCTGTAATTACCAAAGATGTAAGGATTTAGCAAAATGTTAAGTTTTTCTCCAAGGTGAAGATTTATTTATGAATGTGACATCAACTCTGGCAATGAGTGTCATACAGATTTACATTGTAATGTCACTGAAATAACTAAAGATCTCAGGCCTTTCAAGTAACTATGCCAATGTCAGGATACTACTGTATTTAAGGGTATAATATAGCATCAAAACAGTGAAAAAAACAAAAACAAACCTTTTTCACAGAGGAACCTTTGGCCTAAGAAAATATCCTTTCACAATAAATCAAATCAAATCAAATCCAAACAGTTGTACATGGTTGCAACTCAGGTTTTGGTTACTAGTAAACTAACTAAACATTTCTTCCACTATCTTACAACATAAAGTCATTGAGTTTATGTACATAAGTCAGGACCAGGGAGAGGTTAGGTCAACTCTAGAGTGATGCCAGTGGGAGTGATTAACTCTCTCTTTTTCAGCCCCTGAGCCTTTCAGCAAAGCACTACAGCTGTTCACTAGCTGGAATTAACAACCTGTGTGTACCAGGCAGGTGCCTCCCAGGTGAGCATGGTAATGAATGGAAAGCAGAGCAGCAGAACATGAAGTCACAGCAAGGGAAAAAATAGTCAGCCTTTTTGATTATTCAGTGGGTTTGGCCACGTTTCCTTAATTACAGTATCAGTGCATTTCTTGCACACACAAAACCTGGTAGGCTATGCTTATTACATTGTTATATTTAATTTTGCCCAAGTTACCTGTAGTTTGCCTGTCTGACCTAAATTCTCAGGAAACTGTTGGTTTTTTGTATCTTTTTACAATGTAAATATTAATTAACACACCTACAATTTTCCAGAGTTTGGTAATCTATCATAGATACTACTGCATCTTTGTTGTCATCAACCCCTGGTGGACAATGAAACTGCAATGGGCTACCTATCTAGAGCATTTCAAGTCTCAGGTTTCAAGTCTACGAGTTAATTTTTAATTGAAAACAAATTGATACCAATCAGTGAGAAACACTTGAAAATCAGCAGAAATGTAATGTATGAGTTCACTGACTAAACAAAACCAACAGCCATGCTGGAAGCTCTTAGGTACAACTGTACTATTACAAAGCATCAATTAATCCCCAAATGTCACAGGCTTCATCCACTGGGAACCATGAACGCCTGCTCAAAATTTGTTTTAGTTAATGTAATGCTTGTTGAGGTACGTCTGGAGCAAAGTGGGGGACGGACTGCCAGGGCGGCAATACCTGGTATGGTCCTTTCAATCTCAGCAGAGGTTTGTTTTCTGCCTGCCCATCCCTGCCTTGAGGCTGGGAAAGGTCAGTCTTTCAACCCTCACAACATATGGCATGAGGAAATAACAATTACTAATCTGTAGCAGTTTTCTGATAATATTTACAAGTTCCTTAGAGCCATAAATGCAAGGAATGAAGGCCAATGTGTACAAAATTTATAAAGAGGAAATGAATATAAAAATACATAGGAAGAGACTTTATTCCTTTTGCTGAAAAAAAGACAGTAAGACAACATCATTTTACATAAAGAAAAACAAAGTGACTCTGGTTACCAGACTCAAAATGAGCCCTTACTTAAAGGTCCTAGGAACATCCCAGGGAAATGCCAACCTCAACACCAGTCCACTTCACATTACAAGCCCTGAGGAAACCAGGGCTAATCTTCCAATTCATCAGAACTTTCATCAGAACTTTCTTCGGAACTTTCATCAGAGTATCCACTGTAAAGCGGACTGGAGTGCAAGCGGACCACCACAGAGACCACAGAGCTGAGGCTGCTGTCTGTGGACACCAGGCTGCTGTCACTGTCACTTCCGCTGCTCCTGCTACTGTCATCGTCGTGGATCACCGTCACCTCTACAGAGTCAGCTGCTAGAAAACACACACACACAAAATATCTGTCAACCCAGCAACTTTCCTCTGAGCCATTTCAAGTCCTTCACATGACTTCTGAGAATTTAAAAGGGGTGTTCCTTATTGCCAGCAAATCCCATAAAATCAACAGTGTGGGCCGACCTTTAAAGCACTAAAGCATGTTCGTAACCAGTACATGCTACTGTTGTTTAAAGCATCTATAAAACAATATCACACAATAGAAAAAAAGCAGGAATCAGACTCATTGCTCTGCCACCTTTTTGCAGTCTTCACTCTGCTCCACATTCTGGACCCAGTGTTTAATGACCTGATGACGCACCTCTCACCTTTCCTCTCAGTGATGAGGGTCTCACGCCGCACCTTCATCTCCTGGCTCAGGTTTTCCACCATGCGGTCGATGCAGTTGTCCAGTGCCAGACAGCGGGTCTGAGACCGGATGGTCTGTCGGCAGATGGGGCACTCGTCTTTCTTTTGGCGCCACTGCTTGATGCAGTGAGAGCAGAAGCTGTGAGCGCAGTTCAGGATGACTGCCTGAGGACAACATTTAGTTTATTTTTTCTTCTGACAGCTGTATGATATTATAAACACTGTATTTTTTTTTGTTCCTGTTGTTTTTTTTTTTGTCTAATCAGAGTTTTAAAAAAGTAACAGTGAAGAATGCTAAACTGACTCTTGATCCTACCTTAATAAAGAGCTCAGAGCAGATGATGCACTGGAGCTCATTTTCCAGAACTTCAGTCACTTGTGTCACTACCTCCTCTTTTTGAGCCCTCACCTTTTCTTTCTCCTGCTACAAGAAGAAATAAAAAACCCTCAGAATTCAATAAACAAAAGATTAGTGAAAGTATACAAATAATAAACAAAATCACTCTGTATATGCCTTTGTTGCTTCCAGCTCTTTGTTTTTGGCCAAGAGAGTCTCTTCGAAGCCTTGCCGAGAGAGGGCGAGTTCATCTATTATTTTCTTTTGCTAATGACAGTTAAAAACAGAGTCACAGATTAAAACTGATCCAAAATGTAATTTCTTTTGTGCACATACAAACAAATATCAGAACAATATTACACTGCCCATCCACTTTAATAGTCACACCTGTACAAATGAACTTCAGTGCAACACTTCTGCCTTAACAACTGTGTGTATGAAGCTCAAAATGTTTGTTTTTGATGAAACTGTCATAAATGTATACATTCAATTATATGTTTGCTGTAGTTAAAGGTGGTGCTGTACTGGACTACATTATATGTCAGAATATTAGGAAGTGTAATATCATAAGATATTTAGATAAAATGTATCTGGTCGTTTGGATTCCTGCGTCTGTAACAAGAAAGCCAAGGTTTTGCTTCGTACCTCTTGCAAGGCCTCTTCCAGCTGTTTTTTCAAAAGCTCCTCTTGTTGCTGTGTTTTTGCTGCCTAATCAGAGAAAACGTTTTTATGAAGAACATTTTGTCTTGCAGTCATTCATGGATTCTTATGAATATATGCATCCATGGGATAACACACTGTACTGTAAGACTGTATTTCTGGACAAGCACCTGGCCCACACCAAGAATAGAACAGAAATCGTAGGCCTGTGGTATGGGTTAGACACAGTAGTGTTACCGTTACTGCTTACACTTGCAGCCTTCTCTGTAAATGTTGCACAAACTTGTTTTTAAGGAAGTGTGACATTCAAACACATCCTCAATTTCTAGGTATCGTGTGACAAACGCAGAGTGGAAAATCCATTATTATATGCTGAAATAGCAGCTTGAATATTGGTACTCAAATTAACAAAAAAAAAAACAAAATTTCCATGTACTGCGAGCGCT